TATAATGGCTTGTTTTCATGATTTGGTGAAGAACCAGGAAGAGCAGAGATTCCTATGTACATTATCTCCTGGTAAACAGTTGGAAGTTGTTAACGTAATGATCGGACTATACATGAGGAGTCCACCTCATCTTTCCAGACACTCTACAAAACTGACCTTAGTTGGAGAGAAAGCTGTCTTTGAAAGGCGAATTAAGAATGTGGGGCAAGTCTGAATTGAATAGGTGAGCAGTAGTTTAGAAAGATCATGGGAAAATACTTGTGGTGTCTGCAGAAGTTAGAGGGGTATAAACGAACAGCATTGAAAAAAGGGTGCATTATAGGAAGTACAGTGATACAATGAGTTTTCTAACCCTAGCAGTTTTGTTTGCCGTCAAGCAGTACCTATGTTTCATATTTTGCAGCGTTTTTCTTGCTTTTTTTGTGTCCAAAGAAGTTGGTGATTTATGGTGCTTCAGATAAACCACTACCAATTTCTTACTGAATTCTGTCAACATAATCGGTTTGAAAAAAATCAATCAATTACCTATAAGCACTGAAGTAATGTGTGTAACCTTGGAATTTGGATCTTTATTCTTCCATACAGCATCTTTATCTCCAGTGTATATCATACACTGCACTAAAAATAATGGGGTAGATGAAAATGATTCTTAATTTTTGCTTTGAAAATACACAGCCCTGCCACATGCCCAGCACTCCAAAAGCCTTTCTCCAAGGCATGCTGGGCAAAGGGGAATAGGCGGCAGGGCTGTGGTGGGAAGGGTGCTGGAACTGGGGCTGGTGGATCCGGAACATCCTTGGGCAACACATTCCAGTGTTCCAGTCCCTGATGGAGACTTCCTCTCCAGTATCCCTGTAGGTTCCCTTCAGATACTGGAAGCTGCTATGACGTCTCCACGCAGCCTTCACTTCTCAGCCTGTCTTCATACGGGAGGTACTCCAGTCCTGGATCATCCTCGTGGCCCTCCCGCTGGACGTGCTCCAACATGCCCACTATATAAACTGGGGGCAGTTACCCAGGAGGCTTAGATCACTGCTTGGGTCAGCCCGGGTATCGGTAACCGTCACCCCCATGTCATAGCGCCAGCACCCGGCAACGCAGCATCACAATGCTCTGGGGCAGTGTAAGTCCAGCGCCCTCCCCTCTCCCACTGCCAGAATGCCCGGCGCTGCCACCAGGACAGAGCTGGCAGCCTGAGGGCATCCGAGAGGAAGCCCTTGAGGCATCGGGGGAATTACTGGGAGGGGGAGGAGGTTGATGGGGGAGCACTTGAAGCTGCACGAAGCTGCAGGAGGTTCGGTGCTGCTGTTCCAGCTCCTGGAGGGAACATGCTCAAAGCTCATCGGATGGATGAATGGGTGGAAATCCTGCTCAGTTGTCGGGGAGCTCACCATCCTCATCTCCTGGGCACTGGGGAATTAGGTGAGGGGGGAACCGAGGGAGGAAACACAAAGCTGCATGAAGCTGCAGGAGGTTCTCTGCTGCCATTCCAGCTCCTGGAGGGAACATGCTCAAAGCTCATCAGATGGATGGATAGATGGATGCATGGACGGAAATCCTGCTTCAGTCGTCGGGGAGCTCACCACCCTTATGTCCTCAGCACCAGGGAATTAGGTGAGGAGGGTGCTGAGGGAAGGATCATGAAGCTGCAGGAGATTCTCTGCTGCAGTTGCAGCTCTTGGAGGGGCCATGCTCAAAGCTCATCTGATGGATGGATGGATGGATGGATGGATGGATGGATGGATGGATGGAAATCCTGCTTGAATCATGAGAGAGCTCACCAACCTCATGTCCTCAGCACCAGGGAATTAGGTGAGGAAGGTGCTGAAGGGGTGAACATGAAGCTGCAGGAGGTTCTCTGCTGCTCTGTTGCAGCTCTTGGAGGGGCCGTGCTCAAAGCTCATCTGATGAATGGATGGATGGATGGATGGATGGAAATCCTGCTTCAGTCGTCAGGGAGCTCCCCATCCTCATGTCCTCAGCACCAGGGAATTCGGTGAGGAAGGTGCTGAAGGGGTGATCATGAAGCTGCAGGAGATTCTCTGCTGCAGCTGCAGCTCTTGGAGGGGCCATGCTCAAAGCTCATCTGATGGATAGATGGATGGATGGATGGAAATCCTGCTTCAGTCGTCGGGAAGCTCACCATCCTCATCTCCTGGGGAGACAGTGGCAGCAGCCAGAAGAAATAGGATGCACAGTTGGTTCAGTGCCCTCCCCCAGTGCTCTGGAGCTCCACTGCCAAGCACAGGAAGATTTTTGCTCTGAGGATTCATCAGACCATTGGCGTTCTGGTGGTGTTGGAAGCCCCTGCGATGGCTCCAGGAGGAGGCAGAAAAGGCAGTGCCAGCGTCCCCTTGTCCCCTCAGAGGCATAAGCAGCGTGTGGACCAGGAGCAGGTCTTGCTCACATGCTCAGGGAGCAGCCGATCGCCAGCACTGGGGTCAGGAAGGAATTTTCCCCCGGGGCAGATTGGCACGGGTCCCCGGGGGTTTTTTGCCTTCCTCTGAGCACCGAGCATCACCACTTGTCAGGGCTCCTGGGGCCATTCTGGCTGCGTTATCGCCTGGTGCTCGTGCACCACGAAGGTGGCCCCTGGTGTCCTGCAGCTGGGGGGGGGAAGGCTTTTTTCTCCCCAGGCTGGACTAGCAAGCGGCCCTGGGGTTTTTTGCCTTCCTCCGCAGCCGAGCACAGCCCCTTCATGGGGCTCCTTTGGCTCAGTGTGTCCCAAAGGCAGCTGCTCGTGCTCCACGCAGGTGGCCCTCGTGCCCCGCATCCGGGGGGAGGCAGCCTCCTGGACTGCCACGGTGGCCCCAGCGTGGCCCCGGGACTCGCTGCTGTCCTCTGTAGCATTGAGCACCACCCCTTGTCAGCTCTTCCCTGGCCCTTTCTGGCTGGCTGCTTCCTGCACTGCTCTCGCACCACCAAGGCACCGCTCCTGTCCTGCCTTTCCTTTGTCAGGCTCTAAGGGAGGTTTTTCCCAGCTCAGCTGAAGGGTCTAAACTAAACCAGACTGAAATCAACTAAACTAAGCTAAACCAAACCAAACCGAGACAACTAAAATAACTATTTATAAATAAAACACTCTTTCCACCTGTAATCGTTCTGATTTGTGTCTTTGAAAGTGCTTTTGGTGCTTAAATTTCCTTGGCATTTCGGGTAAATAATATTCTCCTAATTGTACAACTCATTGTGAGTGTAGGGAATGGAATGGAACAGAATAAAAATGGAATGGAATAGAAGAGAATGGAACAGAACCGAATACAACAGAAAGCTATGCTATGTTATGCATACATAATCATATAATAGTTAGGGTTGGAAAGGACCTTAAGATCACCGCGTTCCAACCCCTTACCATGAGCAGGGATACCTCACACTAAACCATGTCACCCAAGACTCTGTCCAACCTGGCTTTGTACGCTCCCAGCGATGGAGCATGCATAGCTTCCCTGGGCAACCCCTTCCAGTGCCTTACCACTCTCAGAACATACAGCTTTCTTATATCTAACCTAAACTTTCCCTGTTGGAGTTTGAACCCATTATCACTTATCCTATCACTACAGTCCCTAATGAAGAGTCCCTCCCCAACATCCCTATAGGTCCCCTTCAGATACTGGAAGGCTGCTATGAGGTCCCCATGCAGCCTTCTCTTCTCCAGGCTGAACAGCCCCAGCCTTCTCAGCCTATCTTCATACAGGAGGTGCTCCAGCTCCTGATCATCCTCTGGCGTCTGGACTTGCTCCAACAGCTCCATGTCCTCATGTTGAGGACACCAGAACTGCACACAGTGCTGTAAATGGGGTCTCACGATAGCAGAGTAGAGGGGCAGGACCACCTCCTTCCACCTGCTGATCACGCTCCTTTTGACACAGCCCAGGATATGGTTGGTTTCTGAACTGCGAGCACACACTGAAGCCAGCTCATGTTCAGTTTCTCATTGAGCAATATTTCCAAGTCCTTCTCCACACAGCTGCTCTGAATCTCTTCTCCACCCAACCTGTAGCTGTGATATTTATTTATGTTTTTTTTTTCCCGATTTACTCTTTTTTTTTTCCTGCATCATTAAAGCTGCATCATCTCAATAGAGAAATGCAACCAAGGAAGAAAATTCTCAGACATTTATAGAGCCTAAGAAACCCAAATCTTTCTTTCATGACTTGGCTTATATTTCTGTTCTTTGTGGTCTTCTTATATATGCATTAGTTCCATTGTGACTTTCGGATGCGGGCAGACAAACAGCAAAAACTGACTTACCAGGCAACCTTTTAAGGTATGGACAGCAAAAATTTCCTGTGCATATCTTTAGGAGTGAAGTCACTGATTAGCACTAAATTTTATAGTGGTATAAGACCCTATAGTAAACTGGAAATGGTAAAACGTGTTTTGTGGTTTGGGAGAAGCACACTCCAAAATATGTGTTCACCAGACATGCTGTGCACGTGTACCTTGTACCTCTTACTTGCAATGCATGTTATTGCTCTCTTTTCTGTGAAATCACCCAATTTTGACAGAATTCCAGAAATTTTACATGAATGCCATGCAGTTTCTCTTTCTCGTAACCTTTTGCAACCCTTTAAACAAGGCTGGTTCATTCTATCATTTTAGAACAGATTATTGCTAAATAATGCCACAAAATGAAATCACATTGTCATTCACCGCAACTGTTTTGCTTCAGGGTCACTCTAATGTGAAGTTTTTACAGTCCATAAATCAAAATATGTTCAGGCATATGATCCATTTACCCATGATCATAAATGTAGTTACTATTGGACAGGTATATCTAATGCCTGCTTGCTGCTGCACTTGATTCTGATGTGAAACAAGACAGTAATTAACAAGTTAGAAGTAAAACTACAAAAAATGGTACAGAATAAACCTTATAATTATACAGCATTGTATGTGGGACCAAGTGAAAAGTTTAAAGTATTTTTTAAGATATTAGAAATACAAAACATATTGCTCTTTAGGATCTGAGTTTGGGTGATGCTGTAAGTGAGACCTACTTTCTCATAGTACTTGATCTCGTAGTCCAGAATTGCTCCATGGGGAAAGTCCGGCTCTTGCCAGGAGAGGGCAATGCTGTTTTGGGAAGCCCAGTCCTTCCTTACCATACCTATCAAGGAGGGTGCTGAAAGGGAAAAGGATAACTAAGGGTTAAAGACAAAGCACACAGTTTATCCTTTCAACCTACTGTTTTAGGATACCAACCCAAGGTAACTTGGAGTGACCTCCAGACAGAAAGGCATGACAGATGGCAATTCTCAGGGAAACCATATAACCTGGAATTAATGTCTCAAGTACATACTAGTAACTCCTTTGGTAAAGTGCAGACCAGCTTCTGAAAAATGGCTGTATGCAAAAATATGAAAGAAGAGCCTGTGCCAGCTCCCACTACCAGCTGCGTGCAACCAGGTTGCACTGCTGGCTTGGAGGACATCACGCCCAGAGCAGAACCACATTTCAGAGACGGTAAATTCTACATTCAGGACAATCTTCATGAAATGTTATAATTCAACTGTGTAATATGTACATTCGGTTTACTCTTTGGGGTAAAAGATAGTGACACATCTTACAGCACATGAAGTGAATCCTATTTCTGCAAGCTGGGCTGGCAGCAGCAAGGACGTTTTAGCCTGTCTGTGATGTAGCTATGCACCCAGAAGAGCCCAGCTTCATAGAGACCAGCAGCAGGGACTGGGTTATGGGCAAACCATGAGGGCAAACATACCCCCAGACTTACCTACTGTAACTGATACTGCAGGTCTGCAGCAGTGCAGCTAGTAGGAACCATTTCTAGAAGCTATTGCAAGTGGCCCAACATGGGCTGGTTCAGCCAAGAGCCAAATTGTCTCACTAGGGGGTTAACTAATATTAAGAAACAGATTTTCTGCCCTTTTGGAAAAGAAGGTGGACTATTACCTATGCAATAATTTCAAATGGTGCAAAAATTGCATTCTAGAAAATGATCTTTGCTTATTTTATTAATCTGGTCAAGCACGTCAAAGGAGGTCTAATATTCCCCAGCTGTTTTTAGTAGTACTGATATGCAGCTTTCCCAAATACTACAACAAAACCAGTCATGTTGTACAAGAGCCTTGAAGACAACTGAGCCAGCTGAACAAACCAGCTACCATAAACCCCCCCAAAAGTTCTTCCAGTGGTTCACAGCTTTCACTATTTGTCTTTCCACTAACAAAGACTGGTTTATTACACACCCTCCCCACTCCTCTTTACTATGAATCTTATTTAACCTCTTCTAAGCTTCCAAGGAGCTGTCTTCTAAAAAAACACATTTCTATGACTTCTGTTTTTATCTTCCAACTGGAAGAGTCTCCCTAGGAAAATGAAATAAAAAATCTGCTTCTAATCACAAAATTTCATGCCTTAGTTTTCTTTCCTGTAAGTATTTCAGGAAGTTGAAGAAATGAAAGCGAAAAACGAATTCTAGAATGCAAGCAACCACTGAAGAAAACAAAAATGGTTGCTTTCCACTGAAAAAAGGAAAACTACACACAGACATGCACATAACAATCTTTTTCTTTGTGACAGTGCATTTATCTGAGAGAGAAAACTAACTTCCATTCACTGTCAATCCTATGATAGAATAGTCCAGTCCTCCCTGATGTGAAAAAACCCCACACAACCTAACATGCAACACTAATGGAAAAAACTACCAAAAGTATTAAGTGGACAAAGCAGAGCTTACTCAGGAAACTGTCATTAACCTGTACTAATGCCAGTTTAATTACAAGTCTGATGTAAGGGAATGAGAGATAAAAAGAATTCCTGTCACACTGAATAAAGATTAACCTATTTTTCAGGAAGTCCTTTAAAAGCATAAGTAACTGAACAGAAAATATACAAATAAATAAATAAAAAGCATTCATAGGTTCTGGGCCAAAACATTATCCCTGGGTATGTGTAACTACTCCCTCGGTTAAAATGATTCTTACTCTTGAAATTGAGGGTGAGACTGAGCATTCATAATGTTTCTCTGGGGTAACATCAGCTACTCCAAGCAGGGAACAAAGATAGGTCTGTTTAAAGAAAAACAGGAGCTAGCAAACATGGATTTGTATTTGGTAAATGCTGATCAAGCCCCTCCAAGGGCATTGCTTATATAAATTTGTTTACTACTTCTTGTTTTGAGTCATTTAGGGGTATCCAGCTGTAATTTACAGGTGGGTCTGAGGGAGCTATAGCAACCTTTCAGATACATTTGGTACACCCTGTGTGCCTGCTCACAGGTCATGAGCATCAGCTGGACCATTTTTCCTAGCACATCACAGCTTCATCTCACTGCATTTGGGGGTTCACTAGTCAGACAATTAAATCTTTGTGAAATGACTGAGGTTGATTACAGAAAACACCAGGTTAAGCTGCAGACATAATCACATTCTTGGCCCTTCCAGGATTTTGAAATACAGATTACTGGTATTACACTTCTTCAAATCATCACCTACCCTGTATAAGCTTCTCAGATGTACCTCATGCTGTGCATTTTCCTTTGGGTTCTGATCTCCAAATTTATGTCGCAATTTATTCAGGTTTTCAGACTGAGCTGTCTGTAGTAACTCTTCCACCTGAGGAACTGCATATCAAAACACTGTCCTGGCACATCTGAAGATCCTCTCAAAAGAAATAACCCCAGTCCTCTTCCTGGGAAACAACTCAGTAGTGTATTAAGGGGAAAAGATTTACTTCAACCTTCTCCTAAACTAGCTGTGCTTGACCTGCACTTGAAACTGAAAACCCCATACAGGAATGCTCACATCACACCTGTAGTACTGTGCCAGCGCTGCATCCCCTAAATCAAAATGCAGAGGCTGTGAATATGAGCACCGTATCTGTTTGTATTGAGGGTACCTGGCAAAAGCCCCATGTGCCTTTCAACAAAAAGCCACAAAAGAGCCACCACTGACCATTTCTTGTATGTTCATGAGGATGAGCCTATATTTATCACACAGACGTTATCTATTCACATCTCAGACAAAATAATGACTTTTAGGAAAAGGACTCAAGTCAAAAATTTAGTGTACAAAGAAACAGACAAGTAAACCCAAAGCTGCAACTAGCTCATTTTCTAGTTCTTTGGTTGTTGTGAAATGCTACTGAAAGCAATACTTCGTATGGAGAAATTCCAGCTTCTTCTAACAGTTGCTCACTAGAGCAGAAGTTATTTAGACCCTAAAGATCCTACCCATTTCTAGTTAAAGCTCTTTTTAACTGGAAAATTTAGGATAGGTAAATCCTATTTGCCCACTTATAAAGACTGCTCTAATGTTCCTATGCTGAATCAATGGGAAGTTCTTTTAATTAGTTGCTTCAAATGCAGTAGCTGCAGGAGTGCTCTAATTCGGTTACCCAATGAAACCATTTGATAACAAAAAAATAATGCTTAGAAGCTCAGCATGGCTTTTAATCACTTTAATGGCAGCATTTTCTTGCCACTGGTACTAGGCTGAAGGATGTTTTCTGGCTCTTGAGCTCAGTGCTGATCTCTGTTTTGTACTGAGGATCCTTTGCACCATCTGCTCTTTCTATTTTCCTCTATACTGTCATAAATTTCTTCAAGTACCATGAGTCATCTACAAAGCTGTGAGCTCCTCATTTAATTTAGTCTGTTAAGTTTGTCTTTTCAAATTTGTATTGAATAATGAAAGTTCATTCCTTCATTCCGAGTGAGCTTATTTTATCCTAAATCTTTCTGGATTCTCTTTTTCAGAATCCCTTTTCTCACAGGCTATACAAAGGACAGAAAAGTGTGTACTGTAAATGATGACTGGATTCCAGTGTCACCTCCCTAGAGACTTGCTCTTCTTCTGAAGTTGACTTCCATTATCTCTAACTTTCTGATTTCAACACAGACGACCTGTAAGGTTTCTGAAGCTTTTTTTCCTTTAGACCATTTACTAGATTTCCAATTTCTTGTTTTACACTGTTGAAAGTCAGCTAAGTATTGCCAGCATTTCTCCCCTGGTTTCCAGGGTGGAACGACTTTGATACGGTGCCCATTCACTATGAAGAAGCTTCAGACCCAAAGGCAGCTGACGACTAAAAGGTCACCCAATGTCTGTCTGTACATGGAGTACTCTATCCCTCTGGTATCTCATTATGGATCTTATTTCTTTGGTGCAGAGGAACCATGACAGCTCAACGGTGTTTCACCGGCTGGCAGAGCAGCTATACCTACCAGGTATGCACAATCACTCCCTTGTCAAAAAAACCCTCACCAAACATTCAACAAGCAAGGACAGCTGTATCACCATTGTCCTCTTCCCTTCTTCCCCCTCTGCACTGGACCTGTTTTGGCCAAAGCTAATGAAGTGTCAGCAGATGCAAACTTGGAGGGGAGGGAGCAGAAGAGAGATCTGAGAACTGCACATATGCTGCAGGGAGGACTGCAACTTCACTCCTTTGGACACCATCCTCATGAGAAGGCTGTGAGTTTCAAGGGGTAAAATACTGCCATTTGGGATAAGGTTGGTTAATTTAGTTAGGTGTTTCTATACTTCTACTATTACCAATAATAATCTGAATTGCATAGTTACATGTTATTCTTTCATCAAGACGTCTCCTTGCTTCAAGACACAGGAAAGATTCAAGACACACTCACCAAAATACAGGGCTTTATCGCATGCTTTCTCAGCAGGGGCTTCCCAACAGAGGAGGGAATCGAGACCCTTCCCTGACTCTTCTTTGTCTCCTACTTCAGCCACTTCCCAGCTCCAGCTGGAGGGAATTACTAAGGCCCCCTCAGTAACCTTGCTTCTCTTTGAAAACTCATTAATTGATCCCTCCTTGTTTCTTATGATATAATTAGAGGAGGAAACCTACTTTAACCTCCTGCAAGGAGCCTGCAATCCTCTTGTTGGGCAACAGTATCTTTCATTAAGGGAAGGGCAGCTGATACAAGATTGGAAATGAAAAAGTGGTCTATATTTGTGTTTCTCCTTACAAATAGAGCTAGAGTTTAAAAACACCACTGTCAGTTTTCTGTCAAACCATCCATATGTAGTATTTAACTGTTAATTACAGAAATGTAACAAGATTCAATTTTCAAATGTGTTTCTGGAAGGTAAAAACAACCTCTGCACCAGTTTCTATACCAGAAAATGCTATTATATT